CCTACTGACCCCCTTCCAGCCTGGTCTCCCCTAACTGCCCCCCCCTGCTGGCCTGGTCACCCCTACCTGCCCCCTGCACTGGCCTAGTTGCCCCTCACTGCCCCCTGCCAGCCTAATTGCCCCCAACTGCCCCCCTCCCCCTGCTGGCCTGGTTGCCCTATGCAGCCTGCTTGTTCACTTGTTTGGTCGTCCCTCACTAAGCACCCTGCTGGCCTGGTTGTAGGCAGCCATCTTGTGAGGGTGTGAGGGTTAATTTGCATACTATCTCTTTATTATATAGGACTAGGGGCCCGGTGCACGAAATTCGTGCACTGGGTGGGGGTGAGCGGGAGTGTCCCTCAGCCTAGCCTGCCCCCTCTCACATACTGGGAGCCCTCAGGCATTGACCCCCATCAATCTCCAATCGCAGGATCGGCCCCTTGCCCAGGCCTGACACCTCTGCCAGAGGCGTCAGGCCTGGGCCGGGGACCCCCAGCCCCCTCCGACTGCTGGCTCCTTTTCTGTTTGTGCTTGTATCTATTTGAAAATTAGTCTAGCTCCAAACCTATTATGTTTTTACTAGGGGCCCAGTGCACGAAATTCGTGCACTGGGTGTGTTTGTGTGTGTGTGTGGGGGGGGGGAGTGTCCCTCAGCCCAGCCTGCCCCCTCTCACATACTGGGAGCCCTCAGGCGTTGACCCCCATCACCCTCCAATCGCAGGATCGGCCGCTTGCCCAGGCCTGACGCCTCTGCCAGAGGTGTCAGGCCTGGGCAGGGGACCCTCATTTCCCCCCATCACTGGTTCTGCCCCCAGCCCAGGCCTGAAGCCTCTGGCCCAGGCATCAGCCCTGGGCAGGGGACCCCCCAGCCCCCTCCAATTGCTGGCTCCGCCCCCCGCCCAGAGGCATTATGCCTGGGCAGCGGGGACTACCAGCTCCCCGCGATCTCCCGCTCTGCCCCTGCCAAGGCCTAACGCCTCTGGCCGAGGCGTCCTGCCCGGGCAGTGGGGACCTGCAGCGGCAGTGGCCCCGCAATCGTGGGCTCCGCTTTAGGCCCAGGCAAGGGACCCTTAGCTCCCGGGACTGCCAGCTTTGACCCTGCCCAGCTCCCATCGCTGGCTCCACCCCTACTTCCTGCTATCACTGGCCAGGGCGGTAAAAGCGCCTGATTCTCTGATCATGGCTGGGGGGCAGGGCAAAGGCGGCCCTGGGGGCTCTTAGCGCCCCCTGGGTTTCCGATCACTGTCAGTGGCAGGGGGCTTCTTCCTGCTTTCCCTGTCACCTCCCTGAATTGTGCCTACATATGCAAATTAACTGCCATTTTGTTGTCAGTTAACTGCCATCTGAGTTGGCAGTTAATTTGCATATAGCCCTGATTAGCCAATGAAAAGGGTATCATCATACGCCAATTACCATTTTTCTCTTTTATTATATAGGATAGTAGGTTATTGTCTTGACCTGTTCAGTGAGCACTTCTTTCTGTCATGCTGTATTTATAGTGAGATTATTTTGTTCTCTTCTTTTTATAATTGCCTTACATGAGATTTGATTGTGAACCTTTTTCTTGCTCAATGTTTTTCTGAAATGAATTTTCCTAAACTTTTAGAATGATGAGAAGTTCAGGAAAACTTTTCCGACTCCACAGAATTGCTCTCTTTCTGTGTAACTACTTTACAAATGGGACGAAAATGGCAAAGGTGAAAGAGACTGAAAAAAACCACTGCTATCTCCATCTTACCCAAATCCTTCCGCAGTGATTTTTAGCACATAAGGAAGAATATGCCCAACAAAGAGTGTTCCTCGAATGGTCATTTTTGGAAAATTAATGAAGGTGAGTCATTGTGAAAATGTTTTAGAATTAAACTCTACACACAAATGGGCATGTGAACCCTGGAAATTAGACTTCCCTCCACTATGCTGCCATTATTTTTTTTGTTTAATATATTTTATTGATTTTTTTACAGAGAGGAAGGGAAAGGATAGTCAGAAAAATCGATGAGAGAGAAACATTGATCAGCTGCCTCCTGCACACCCCCTACTGGGGATGTGCCCACAACCAAGGTACATGCCCTTGACCAGAATTGAACCCGGGACCCTTGAGTCCACAGGCCAATGCTCTATCCACTGAGCCAAACCAGTTAGGGCTATGCTGCCATTATGTAACAGTGAGATGGTAATGAAATTTATTTAGATAATGATAAGTAATTAGTTCTCAACTTATTTCCCACAAGCTAATACAAATGAATGAATAAAATATTTAAAAAGTGTTGCTGAATCAGAAAAACTACCCTGTGATAAGTCTGTCCATGTAACTCTCTACCGAAACCCTGAAACTCCTGTGTGTAAACTGGCATCTAATGATTTTTTCTTGAATTCTATTTTG